TATATATATATATATATATGTACAATTATTCGATACAATACTTTTCTTAGAAATACCAGATAAATAGACAATATATATAGTGTAATATTATTTACTATGAAATTATCAATATACAAGAAGGAAATTAATTGATATATATATATGTGTATATAAAATATTACAAACATTAACTTTTAGTAATTGTTTATTAAAAAATTTATAAAACATGGAATTAATATGCCTAAAAAATATTTCCTATTAAATATTATTAATATATGGATATACCTGTATAAAGAGATATGGCGATAAAGTGGGCCAGAGACCAACCAGGTGACCATAGAGCAAGTCCTCCTGAAGAAGATGTTGCGAGGGAAAATTAGTGTTCAAGAGAAGATAATTGTAACACTGAGCAGCGGTAAGAGTAATGTTTCTAGCTTCTTTAGGATTATTGTCTTCAGGGAATAGATTGTACTTTTGAATGATGTCAACAACAGCCTGTACCAGCTCATCGATGAAACATGAAGTCTCTTTCGTCGCTCGGGACGAGACAAATTTTAATTGACCATATTCTCGCTCTTTCTTTAATAAGAGCTTCTGCATATCCTGGGAGAACTCGTCCATCTTAAGTGGGAAGTTGTTAACTTAAAAAATAAGAAAAGACATTAATGAAGAAATAATCTTAAATATAAAATATATAATATTTTCAAGAAAGAGACTATTATATAATATAAAATAATAATAATAACTTTAATTGATAATAAGAGATAATTAGAGATCAAAGTAATTATATATATTTATAAAGAAATAGAGAGAAGCTAAGCCACATTCTAGAAAATGTCTGATATAAAATAAAAATAAAATAAAATACAAATAGACATATAAGAATTATATATAAGAGATCATACATTTTCTGAAATAAAATTATAATTTGATGATATAAAAGACACACAAAAAAGAACTCAGGCTTACCGAATTTTCGTACTTAACGGAAGTCTCTCATTTGAAATTCCCCTTGATCGTCATAAACAATCGTTGATAAACATCGTATCATTTGTATATTTTTTTTCGGTATTTCTTATCATCGAAAAATGCCGGCAAACCGTTTGATAATTATCAGATCGCTTACGTCACAGTAGCTGATTAAACGCAAAAGTAAAACGCAAAAGTAAAACGCAAAAGTCCGCTCTTCGTCTTTGCTCTTCTCGTTTCGGATTTTTCCTTCGAACAACGATGGTGCGCGCCTGGTACATGGATAGTAGCGATGCCGATCAACGATTAGAACATCACAGGCAGCCGCCAGAATTCATACCGCCGGATCACCTGTTCGTCGTGACGGGTGTGGAATATTTTAAGGTTAAGAAATTCGCGATACGAATACGAATATTGAAAAGCACACACGATCAGCTGACAATAAAAATTTGATCAGATTGTCAAAACTGCCCCGTTTTACATCATTAATTATAAAATGTAATATATATAATATACACACAACACATACGTCAAATTATAATATTCAATATATTATATTTTAATATCAATAATAAAATAAATTGTATAACACACACACACAAAATAATAATAATATTACACGAATAAGAAAGAATTTTATATATATTATAAATTTTAATTTATAATATAATATAGCTTTTTAAATATATTTTTTTCAGGTAAATCATCTCAATTACGGCACGGATGCTACCTTGAAGAATTTACGCGAGAAACGCGGTTACACATATGAAGATGAGCTAACATGCTCCAAAGAGTGTTTACCAAATTATGAAGAGAAGGTATAAAAAAATATGTATTATTTTTCTAATTAGATTCAATTGTAATTACAGTAACAGATCTATTAACTAATTATCGATTGACTAATAAAGTTTAAACTTTAGACTGAAAAAATAGCCACTGATAAAAATTAGTATAGAAATGTATAAATATTATTTCGTCATTTCTCACAGAATCATACATTTGCTTAATACTAGATCAGTCAGAGCTTAACTCTTGGAATTTGAATAAATAGCTTGTTTCAGTATAGTTTATCTCTTACCTAATAATGTTTCGCTAATAAATTTGATAAAATTTTTCGAAAATATTAAAAGATACGCATTCAAACATCTGCCACTTCTTCTTTAAGTAAGTATTTATCTATTTGTTAATAAATTCTCGATGTAAATGTTCAATTCATAAACTTATAGTGAAGATGTTATAGTTATATAAAATGTTTTTGTGTTACCTACTTCTATACATTTACATATAATTACTGTAATTTATATGTGATTTACTGTATATATTCAAGCAGTTTTCTTAAATTTTTGTAATTATATTAATATTCTTCATCTAAGTCAATCTAAGTCTAATCTTCATCTAATCTTTAGTTGAAAAATTTCTTCACTGAGCATCTTCACACCGATGAAGAGATACGCTTAGTTTTGGATGGATCAGGTTACTTTGATGTACGAGATGAGGACGATCAATGGATACGGATCGAAGTCAAGGCCGGCGATCTAATAATCATACCGAGTGGGATTTATCATCGTTTCACTTTGGACACTAATGTAAACGTGCACATACCAATCTCTTCTTTTTAATATATATTTTTTATCTTCTCTTTTCTAATTTTTTCTTAGAGATTCAGAGGAGAGAATAATTTTTTCATAAATTTTTTAAACAAATTTCTAATTTTGCAAAAAAAAATTCTCTCCCTCTGAATTTCTAATTAATTCTAGAGAGAAATAAATTTTTCTAATAAATTTCTAAATAAATTCTTTTAGAATTACATAAAAGCAAAGAGATATTTTGTGGGAGAGCCAGTTTGGCTGCCATACAATAGACCAGCTGATAATATGGAATGTCGTAAACAGTACCTCGAACAATTGCAGAAAGGATTTGACGTACCTTCCCTTTGATAACCCTCAATGTTACATGGGCTTCCATAAAAATATATTTTATTATATCTTATAATTTTTCGTAATATTTTAAATATTAAATATATACGTTTATATTATATTATAAAATAGACATGATAATCTGTGAATACAAATAAAGATATATAAAATATCTCTTGCAATATATATATAAAGAAAATAAAAATCTACATATATAATTTTTGCACATTTCTTATTATTCTTTCACATTTTCTAGAATTTTTTTTTCAGCAATCATAATAAAAGTTTGAAGGAAGATTCTTTGATCTCTTTTACAATCAAATTTATTTCTGCATTACTATTACATATTCATGTGAAGACTTATTCATATAAATACTGTTTTAAACACCAGCTTTTGGTATGTGGTTCTAAAGTAACGGATTTTGATTTATATAACTATCCATCCAAATTTATATACAGTTTTTTTACACATCAAATCGTTAAGTATAGCACTTTATGACAGAAACTATTATTTAATATTTTTAATTCTCCTGAATGAGAAATAAAGAATATAATAATAATGTCTATTATTTTTCATCAAATTGTTCAATTATAAAATAAATTATTATCAAATCATAAAAAGAAATTTTTCTGAAGTGCCATAGATATTGCAATAAACATTATTATATTAATAACATAGAATTCATTTTAATTAATAATAAGTCTACGTTAAAGATAATGGTCAGTTTCTCAAAAGTTTGTCAAATAATGATGACACTAATGAAAAGTATTGTAATCGCAAAGCTGCAACTTTTTAGAATTAGTAGCCTTTACTTTTTTGAAAGTTTTTTTGTTAATTAGTTACATTGCGAAAAAAAAACAAAAATATTAAATATAAAATTATATAAACACGTTATATTTTTTTAGCATATTATTGAAAAAGAGCATTTTAAAAATTGTAATTATATAATAAAAAATGCAGTTTCAATACTTTTCTTATTAATGTCATTAGGGGTTATGCATATATCTTAATATTAATATCTTAAATATTTTACAAGTTTCTATCTGTCATAAAAATATTTGTCAATCATGTTTAGACTTATTGTTAATACAAAGTTATTCCAAAATCATTATCAAGATCATTAATATACATCATTTTTTCTCCATCTAGGAGCAAATATATAATTCTACAATATTCATCCAAAAAAATCTTTTACGTTAAAAATTTGCGCTAAATACTACACCCGATGTATTGCTTTTATTTTGAGAACCTTCCTCCGCGACTCCGAATTTTTTGTACTCACCCACTTTCTTTTCAAAGAAATTTGTTTTGCCTTCCAGGGAGATAAAGTTCATAAACGAGAACGGATTCTCCGAGTGATAAACCTAACATTTCACATTATAATAGTAAAGTATTAATTAGATGAATAAAATCAAAAATAAATTTTATAAGGATGATAATAAAATAAAAAAGAAAAAAAAAAAAAGAAAAATTAATATAACCTAAAATTTTATTGTAATAACATTATGCAAAATAAAAAAATATATACAAATTAAACTAATAACAAGATAATAAAATTTTTGTATACATACTTTTTCAAACCCTAATGCGACGAACAATCTGTCCGCGACGAATTCAATGTAGTTGCACATGAGTGTACAATTCATTCCTATCAATTGGACTGGTAATGCTTGTGTCAAGAATTCCTTTTCAATTTCTACAGCATCCATTATAATTGATTTCACGCGTTCAAATGATGGTTTTTGTACAATGTGTTTAAACATTAAACATGCAAAATCGCAATGTAATCCCTAAAAAATGGAACAATAGTTATATAAATGCATATAGATATAATTAAGTTAATTTACTAACTTCGTCTCTTGAGATGAGTTCGTTGCTGAAAGTGAGACCTGGCATAACTCCTCGTTTCTTCAACCAGAAAATTGAGGCAAAACTGCCACTGAAGAAGATACCTTCAACCGCCGCAAACGCAACTACACGCTCAGGAAATGTGGCGCTCTCGTGATTGATCCAGTTTAATGCCCAATTGGCCTTCTTTCCCACAGAAGGAAGCGTCTCAATTGCATTAAACAAGAAATCTCTGCAAATAAGATTATGGCACACATTAATGCATTTAATGTCATCAAAATCATTAATTTAATTTAAATAATAAAATGGATATAAATAAATATAATAAATAATGCTTATAACACTTATTATATAAGTAACAATCTGTTCCACAGTACTTACTTTTCTTTTGGATCGGTAATATAAGTTTCAATAAGCAAGGAATACATCTCAGAATGAATATTCTCTATGGCGATTTGGAAGCCGTAGAAACAACGCGCTTCCGCGATTTTCACCTCTTGACTGAATCTCTCAATCAAATTTTCATTAACAATTCCATCAGAAGCAGCAAAGAATGCCAAGACATGAGAGATAAAGTATCTTTCGTCAGAATTAAGCCTCTCTTCCCAGTCTTTTTTATCCAACTGTAAAAGTTAAAGTGCATTGTTATAGAAAATTCAAAGAAAAATTAATTACATTTTATTTATATTTCTTTAAAAAAGGTCTAATAATTTACCTTGTGAAGAGGTACTTCCTCTATAGTCCAAAAGGATGCCACTGCCTTCTTGTACATCTCCCAAATATCAGGATATTGAATGGGGAAAATTACAAAGCGATTTGGGCCTTCTTGAAGAAGTGGTTCCAATTCTGGATTGAATTCTTCCTTCAATTGTATTTCTCGCACGGCTTTTGTCTTGGAAAGCTATGCAAATTCATACGTATTAAATATTTTAACTAATAAAATTTCAATATAAAATAAAATATATCAAAATATTGAAATTATATAGTAAGGAAATTAGATTTACTCCATTTTTCAATCCATGGTCCTGAGATATAGTTGGTGATATACATGATTTCTTTGGTGATGTCTGCAAAAAGAAATTATAATTAATCTAAGTTTAATAAAATAATATAATCTCTATATAAATAAGTTCTCGTTAACAAAACAAGATTATAGTAGAAGAGTAATAATTGATATTGTAATAATTATTTCTTTAGTCAATGACTATATTACTAAAATAATTACCAATAATTTAATGAAATTTTTTCACAGTTCAAACACTGTATTACATATTTCAAAGAAAATAGTATATGTTATATTAAAAATTACTTATTAAGAAGTACCTTGTGCTGAATATTAAATTTTGATGTTTATATTAAATTTAGATGTTATATTCTAGACTAAATATTGTCCAGACTTCAGATAGTGTAAAATAGCAAATCATATATGTAAATATATCTATTTGTTACAAATTCAAAGTTAAATGCTAATCAGAGCTTCTACATTAGAGCTAAAAGTATATTAACTTAAAGCAGCTAAAAGTATTAACCTAAAAAAGTCCTAATCAGTGAGAAAATTCTGTAGTAAATTCTCCACACATAATTGTCTACCTCTTCACCGTTCATTCTAGGTTACTGATGACGATAGCACAAAATTACAAATATAAAAAATGATAAAACGTTCTGATGAAAGATATTGCATATTCTAAGCAATGCTGAGCTTAAAAATGGACACAGATATGTGTTGTGTGTGTGTGTGTGTGTATATATGTGTACGTTTAAATATTGTGTTCATATACATGTTCATATATTAAATAAACTTGCGTTTTAACTTGACATAACTATTATTATTAATAATATTATTACTATTGCTATTAATTTTTGTGCTTCGAAATGTATTTCTTTCCCGTATGCATCTTTTCTATTGCATTAATGAACGGCAGATTTATGTTCGTATCGACACGTGTCAAATATTAATCATTGTCGAAAAAACTTGACAGAGAAAATATGGAAAGAGAGAGGTAGAAAGAAAAACAAAACGTGATTCGGTATCTCTAAATGAACGAATATAGAAGACGGATAAGGGAAGAAAAAAGCAGTGTATTCTCGACGATGTAATACAATAAATACGCGACACACTTACGTGCAACGACACATCCTCGAGGTGCTTGCGGACGTTTTCCTTGGTAGATTCGAGCAACGCCATCCTGTTTTTAATAGCTGCAGATTTTCCAGCGTCGAGACTAGCGATGACAGACAACTCCGTTTCGGCGAACGAAATAGGAAAGACTGAGCTCCTTACGCGGCAAAATTATCTCGATCGGCGTTTTATTGGCCCTTCCAACCTGCGTTTCGCGCCCAAATCGCCGTCCGCCAATCAGCTGATCGTGCCTTGCCGCCAAATCCCGGCAATTTTCATAATTTTCCTCTTTTTCTTCCCCCTCATTGTCGCGTCCCATCAAAAAAAATCGGAAATGAATTCTTTGCGGCAAAAAAGAGCGATTTGATACCGAGAATTATTCCTGCAACGTTCGATAATCTTGACAGTTTCCCGCGCGTTTTGTGAGACCGTGCGATAAGAGTGCCACGGTTAGAGAGAATCCTGAAAGAGGTCACACTGCCATTTTTACGATGCTTTTTCTAGTTGGTGCAGTAGCGCCATTACATTCACTTGCGTAGGGAAAATGTTCAAAAATCTTATTCGTAGAGTAACATTGAATTGACCAATCAGGATAAAGAATGCTTTTTTTGTCCTGATTGGTCAATTAAACATTACTTTACCCTATAGATAGGATTTCCGAACGCACTTATAACAAAGCGTCGTGATGGAGGATTCAGATTACGTCTGATATTTTATTTGCTTGTACATTTCTTAGGGGTTATCCAGACGGATTTGCATAGTCGCACTATTGAAAAATTATGTCTAAAAATCTAAATAAAGTTAAATAAATTTAAATAATTAAATATAAATATTAATATAGTGCACAATTACAACATAATCTTCCTATTTTGTTTGTTGCAAATAGAAAATAGTAGGATTCATTGCAATAAATCATATTTATTTGAATAATAATAATTAGAATAGTAAATATATATAGATACAATAAAGAACGCTTTTAGCAGGCCAATTTCCCAGTAATGCTTGTGAATTCTATGAATGTCTTCTATTTTTTATCTGAAACGAATGCAAACGGATTCTAAAATACGCGCATCATCGTATTCATTAAAAAATTGTGATAACAATTAATAATATTAAAGAAATAACGAGCTTTTGACAACGTACATTTTTTTACCGCATCGTTAAAACAATTAAAAATATCATGGATACACACTGTACATAGAGAGAGATAAATCATACTAAACGCTTGGCAACGATTAAAATTTCTTTCTTTTTTTCATTAACATGTAAACGGCATTATGTGTGTTAATTATATCGATCTTGTCAATCTAAAACAACGAAAACCTTATATTTGCGCATAACTTGAGATTGCATTTGCTCGGCTCTTTTTGAAAGAGAAATTATTATTTGTCTTGTATTACGTATCGAATTAGTATTTTTCATCATCCATTGCGCGTATATGTTTATGTATGTGTTGTATTATGTGTGTGTGTGTGTGCTTTAAATGGCATCAATATCGAAGTCATCCTCATCAGAATCTTCTTTCGCGGCGGCGGTGGCAGCGGTGGCGGGCTTCGGCGCGACCACCGGTTGCTGCTGTTTCAGGGATTCTTGTTTAGCTCTATCATCATATTCAATCTGGAAGATAAAAGTCCAAAACATTAAAAAGTTATATCAAAATTATATAACATATCGAGATATAGTATAAAGAAAGCAAAAAATGAAAAAAAGAGAATAAATAAATAAATAAAATCTTGAAAAATTATAGCATTGAATCCAATAGAGATTACTCTCTGAAAGAAGGATATATTAATTCTGCAAATCTCTCGCCGAGCAATTCTAATTAATTATCTCAAAGCAAAATAAAATAAAGATACAAGAGTCTTGTATATTTAATAGAAAAGTTAATCCTAGAATTAAAATTAAGGAAAAATTAATTAAAAAATTAAATTAATTTTAAAAGACTAGTATATTTAATTAACAGCATTATGTGTAGTGAGACACTTGCTTCTAAATCGTCATCTTCTTCCTCGGACTCGGACTCTTCCTCCTCTGCGACTTTTAGCCATGTTAAAAATGGTGCAGCTCGATCGTGAATCTCTTGCGACAGATCCTTCGAAACGTATTTTTTACTGACTTTACTTGACCATTCATCAAATGCCTTCTCTTCCAGGATATCAGCGTCGTAAAATAACTGAAATATACGCAAATACTTTTATTAACTTAATAACTAAAAAATAATTTAATACCGATATCGAAGAAATATGAGACATAAAAATGCTCAATGAAAAAGAGTGTATACGAAGCGTGTATTTTTAAAATAAAGAAAAGAGCATTGTCTTAATAAATAATAGACTCATGAGAAGAATATAATTGAATATAAAAGATAAATAAATTCTAAAGTTAATTCTTTTACCTTGAGAATTCCGGGAACCTTCGGCATCAGAGTGTCCTTGTGTAGCGCGATGACTTGTTCAATACCTCTGATCAAATATTTCTGTGCCTTGATGTCATCGTGGGTAAAGCGCAACAATAGTACACGATACTTTTTCGCCTGTGCGGCAATTCCCTGATCAAATAACAATTCGGCAAGGATCAACGGCGCCTTGGTCTTGATTTCGAGACGTTCCGCCTCGGCCACGAGCTCCTTGTGATTGTTGTCGAGTTGGCCGGCATCGCGGCGGCACTTGACCAGTTTGTAGAACATATCCATGCGCTCTTTTTCACTCTTTTCTAGGTCATCGCTGATAGTCATGCCTTTTGCACCATCCGTCAGATCCTGGAGACGAGCTCTGACCGCTTCTTCAGACACATCAACCGCCCATTTATCGTCATCCTCATTGTTGCTGATTTTTTTTTCTGGCGGAGGCTCCACTACAATATCTGCGGAATTGTTGACCTCGTTTTCCGGCGAGCAGGATCGATCGTTGCCATTGGTAGTGGCAGTAACGGTTGCACCTGCGGCCCCGGCGTCGCCATTGGCGCGTTTCGAGCGTTTTCCGCGTTTGCCCTCCGTCAATGAACTGCCCTGCACCGCCGGATTCAGACTCGGCGGGTTCTTCAAAATGTAGGTATTCAGCTTGTGGTTGCTTTCAAGAAGACCATGATGGCCACAGGCCTTGCAGCCCTGTGAGATCGTGCCCTTCTTCGAGCTGATCATCAGCTCAGTTTCCGGATTATCGCAAGCCGGACAAAGAACATATTTCCGAATAAAACCGTCCAGTAAATCCTGCAACTTCGTGGCATCATGCGAGCCGTTGACGATGAAGCGCTCGTTCTTGAAATCAAATTGGGTCTGCGCGCCCAGCTCGCAGCCAAAGTACTTGGTCGGATACGTGGCCGGTCGGCCGATTGCCTTAGCCACGTCCACCATATTGACTATCACTGTTTTGATGCCGTTTCCTTTGCCCTCCACCTTAGCCTGTATCCGCGGCATCTTATAGCGGTAGAAGGCATCGCTAACATTACGATTGACATTTACGCTTCCCATGATGATTGTTGTTTCCGTCTTCTCTTACTTTTGATAAACTTAACTTCTCCAATTGATAGTAATTTCCGACGAGACGTCGTTGTGAAAATGTTAACAAATCGCGACAAAAAAATCAACTCTCAAACAACCTGAGATGATGTATTCGCTATTCGATCTTTATCTTTCAGGTAGGTAATGTCTCCGTCCTGGTTCTTCTAGATCGCCTCTGTCGCACGTTTCCAGCCAGCGGCAGTTTGATAGCCAGCAGTGGCCAATAGTAGGCAACGGCTGCCGCCTGTTCGTGGTCGCTCGTAACAGCAGCGTGTCGAGTCAGGGTGGTTCTGCCTGTTTTCAGGGTTGTAATCCTTGTTAGCGGTAAGGCGTGCCGCGCCGCTACCCGCTGACGCCAGTCACGTTTCTCTGAATGGCTGTAGCTTCCGATGCCTATTACTGCAAAGAAAAAAAAAACTTATCTTTAAAAAAATATTATATTAAATTTAAAAAATTTTACAGTTACTGTTTTGACCAAACTAGCTCTAAAACCGATGACCACGAACCTGGAAAATTTTGAGGTCCTGTGCTTGGGCAGGACCAGATGGAGGTTTAGGAATCGTTGGGTGGTATCTTGATGCCTTGAGTGTTGCCTCGGTTTGGCGGTGGCGGGTGGGGTAGGGGGATAGTCTTCAATGATCATACACGCTGCGTGTCCGTCGCTCGTCGCCCTAAGAAAGCCCGGTAATCGGTGGTACCAGGTTGGTAATGATGTTGATGTTAACTCGCTGGTTAACTCGCGCAAAAACAAACGATCGTGGGTGGTGATGGTGTTGCCGTTTGATGATCGCCGGTCGGATGATAGTGTCCTGCTGTCGCCGCCGCCTTTGCTACACGCCGATCCTTTCCCTCTGGATGATATCCTGGATGTTTCTGCAAATAAGAGTAAGACAAACTTGAAGTAATCCTGATCAATTTATTAGAGACCATAAGTTTTATAAATTATCTCTTCCCTAGAATAGATAATTAGATTTTATTTAAAAAAATTAAGGGAAAATAGAAATTTTATTTTAAAAATAAAAGAAAAAAATATAAAGAATATTATATTTATAAAATTTTATTTTAAATTTATTTTAATATATAATATAAAATTTAATCATATGTGTTTTAAATTTTAGTTTATGTGAAAAGTCTTTAGAATCTGAAACTAAACTATTTGTAATTGTTTGAAGAGCTATTTAATTTTTTAACGAAGCTTGTAATTATCCAATTCAAATTATACAACACGTATAATTAAAATATTTTTCTTTATCGAGCATTATCTTGCCTTCTATTTCTCTCTAACTTCGATCTTATCGGATTCATTTCAATCGCAGGATCGAAGGATGTATTCTGGATACAGAGAAAGACAGAAAATCTTGCAAATTGCTTTTATCCATGCGAGTTTGATCTGCTAAAAGCGTTCACGGGATGTGCAGGATCATGAGAATGACATTTAGGGAAATTTTCAGACATAGATGATCATCGGACCGGTGTAAGTTTCATCTGGCTATGGTGCTAACGATCATCCGGATGATTTTCATGCGGGACAGACCATATTAGGATCATGATAACGAAAGTCCCTACTAACGCGGACTTGATGTCCTTCTTGAAGATCCCGGAAGCTAAATCGCGGCGAGCGAATTTGATCTCTCTCGATAGTCGAACAAATGCAATCGCAATAAATGAAGGTTTGCTTGAAGTAAAATTAAATGGAAATATATTGTATAATAAATGAAAGTACACGCGCGCGCATGTAAATCTGCTGTCAAGTAAGATATGTTTGCATGATAAACACGATTTAGCTACATTTATTTAAGTATTATTTTAATTCAAGTAAATGATTTAACAGTAAGTAATTTAGCACTATTAATGATTATTTAATCGATTTTTTATTTTCTCCCGGATTATACATGATACGACAATAAATTTCTCGTAATGATTAATTTTCCCATTAAAACGATTTTTTTTTTTTAAATTATACATACTTATTTCGTGAAATCGTATGCTGATATATATATATACGAGAATTAGCGATTATCACAAATGAAATTGATATGATCCCTCTCGTAATAATAAGACATCCCGTAAGATATCCTATCGATTTAGCGTTGGCGATACCTGAGAACGCGATGCGTACATAGTACTCGCGTTTCTGCAAGTATACCATTATATTGTACAATAGTGCGCAAGCAGTTTGTAATTCCATGCCCGATTGCAGCCGTGCAGTTGTTTATAATAACTATGCATTATTAATATTGATTCTCGCGCTCCATTTATCGGGCTATAAGCGGTGCTTTCGCGATGTTAAGATACCTTAAGAAGTATCGAGACACACTTTCGAGCACGCCCTAAGACGGAATAATCAGTTGAAAATTGCATTTCGTCCTCTATTAAATAACACATATTTAAAGACGGTAAGAATTAATTGTGGAATAATTCTTCTTTATGTCTTAATAATAAAATCTGCATCTGAGAACGACGAATCAAATTTCATTACCGAAATGCGTTTCTCCTCTAATTTAATACCTCGTTTACTCGTCAGAGCTTATGCAGTCTAATAGCAAATCCTGGCACAAAATCCACTCGAGATAGAGATCGTTCGGGATGACCCCCGAGGAAATCGCGTGTATCGGAAACGATTACCTGCTCGGTACAGACGCATAAGTCGTGATTTGCGACGTTGACGCGTCTTCCGCAGTCGCTGTCGTTGATCACCAGGTGTACGCAGACTTCTTCTCCAACGACACTCTCGAAGAGCAGAGAGGAACGACGACGAAAAAGAAGAAGGACGAGAAGATTCGAAGACAAATAGATAGACAGGAATAGAGAAAAAAAGTGGAGCAGATCCGTCGCGTCGTTGAGAGAAAGAGAGAGAGAGAGAGAGAGAGAGAAAGAGCGAAAGAACGAGAGAGAGAGAGAGAAAGAGAATCGATTCTCGCGCGGGGGGTAGCTCTTGAGACGAAGAGGTCGGCCTCTTGCTAGCGCGCAACTAGAGTAGAATCACTCGTCGTCTCTTCGTGGTCTGACAGCTCCCGGATCGGCCTATCCCGCAGCGCGCACGCGTTCTCGACGTCCACCGTGTATATTGATCCGGACGCCGACGCCGATCCGGACGCCGACGTCGCCTCTTCTAGAGAGAGAGAGCAGCCTTCGAGCAAGGTCACTCTACTCCACTCTCGAGTAGCTAACCGGCACGTAGTTCAAGCAGTCGCTAATCGTGAAACATCTTTATCAATAACTATAGACATGTTGATATTTGTGTGTTCGTGAGATTAAATCAATTTTGAAATTTCAAATCGTATAAATATTATTCATAGATTTAATGATATTTCATGTTATATTAATCCCGTATTTAAATTTATGTTAAATTAATGTCAAAATTGATTTAAATTAAATTTCTTGGCTGGGAGAGAGTAATTCGATCGGTCAACTATCAACGAGTATTGTGAAAGATCTAGGAAGAATTGTAGTGGGATAGGTCGAGAGATAGATTGACCCAGGTCCAGGTTGCATCGACGTGGTTTGGAAATCTTTTCACCGTTCCTTGTTCGCGATTGTGTGTTTAATTACGCTGATTAAATAAAGTAATAAATATATTTCTTACGGTCTCGATGTAACGAATAAATGAATATTTAATTCGATGGATAATTTTACAAAATTTATATATACATAAAATATAATCTTGTTTTTATATAATATTAACTTAATAACGATTTGATAATTTGTGATTTTTTAATAATCTAAAATCAATATTATACACGGTCGTTTCGGTTTTGAATCAAATTGAAAGCAAAATTAATTTCGCGGAGAATTTTCGACAAGCTATTCTATCGTTTCCGCATCGTTAATGCTGCTACGTCAATAAAAACGGACGATTATATCGATGAACTAAAATCAAATTAGAATTTCAACAGTCGTTATCTTTATCTTACACTTCGTTGCGAAGCAATTACAAAGCGATTTTGTAATAACACTTATAGATTTTTCTACAGAAAAAATTTTTAAAAGCATTCTCTCTAAAAGAAAATTTTTTTCTCAATTTATTATTCTCCATTATAAGAATGTATTTACTTGCCAGATGAATAGATAGCGCATACATGCACAAGTCTATATCATGTATATAATTTTCCAGCAATCCGTTTAATTAAATTACGTTTAAAAGTATTTTGCCGTTTTTGAAACGCTGTAATTAACAACCCAGATCCTCGGTAAATATTTTTCTCGTCGCAAAACCCGTTCCAGCATACTTGCTCCTGTTCGCGATTCAGATTCGGAGAAAGTGAGAGAGCGAAATTCATCGATATTACTTGATTACGCTTTCTCTCTCTCTCTCTCTTTATCTCTTATTTCCTCGAATCGCAAAGGTAGTAATTTATGGATCGATATGGATTCGCTGACGATATATCAGAGATCGGGTTGCGGAATTCACACTAGGAGAAATTATGCTTGAGAAGCTTACTGACACTGCTTACTGATTAAGAGGTATTATTTTGCATCGTTATCGTATGCATACTTAAGGGTCACAGTAGCAGGCTATCTTGGCCAGATAAATGCAAAAAAACAGCTCGCGATTCTCGCACGAACAAAGAGGAGAAAGATTTAGATTTAAATCCTGACGCAATCGTCTCGAAATATTTCTAGAACTCCGAAAAAATCAACGTCTTTTGAAATTTGACGAAAGTAAAAGTAAAGAAGTTTTCCAGTTCTAATTTCGTTATTATTTTCATATTATTCTTATCGTGTGTTTTTTTTTTTCTATATACTTATTATGTGTGTATAAATACATACACATGTTATTATATTTTTTTTTCTCTCTGTATATATAAGGAAAAAGAATATTATATATGAAAATTACCAATGTAAATTTTGGATTTGCAGACCAATTTTACAGACTGACACGGTTCGATAGAAGTTTATTACCGATGGGTACATGTATTTACAAATACGATCCGAACGTTATTGTCAATCGCGATGAGGCTGAATAATATGAACTATAAAATCATGCCGGAAGAATATATTATCTGCGATTATCGGCGTTATTTACAACGTTATATAATCTAATCGCGACGCGTATACCCGGCGTCTCAGAACTAACATTACTATCAAAAATCGCGCTGGAAATGTACCGAGAAAAATAGCGACTGCTGAGAGATCCTGTATATAAGAAATGTGTGAACTTTATAACAGATTCAACCAAATATATTATATGTAATATCAAGTGAAAATATTTAATCCGTTAAATCAATAAGAATTAAATAAATGAATCAATATATTATGCGTTAATAAATAAAAGATAATGTGCTCTGATTAAAATCAGATATGCATTGTAATATCAGTTTTAAATAATACGCAAGTTGCGATCGCCATTGAATATTCGATGTATATAGTTATTATTAGATGACGCAGCGATTTGCGATTTGCATAATATGCAAAGTGACACGCGAGGTAATCGCTCCTTCCTTCCTTTTTTGTAACAAGTAGTCGTCAAGTTCAATGTTTCGAACGTATATTACAAGCTATATATTATAATATAAAATATTCTCTCTCTCTCTCTCGCGATATAAGACAATAAATATAAATATGTACACATGATAGAAATTTTTAATAAAAATATATCCAGCCGATATTGTATGGATAATTAAAATGATTAAAAGGACATTAATCTTGTGAGTACATTAATTATCTCAAAGCGCGTGAAATTTTCCAGTTAAAAACAGAAGATAAAGAAACGGATAATCAATAAAAATTATTATCCGTTATGAAAAGCAAGTCACTTTAGTAAATCTTTACAGGGATCTTTATCTTCTCAAAACAAATTGTTGTGCATTTTATTGTCGATATTTAAAAAAAAAAAAAAAAAAAAAAAAAAAAAAAAAAAAAAAAAATATTTTGTAATAAAAAAAAATAGAATAATGTATCTTATCATAAATATACACGTGTCGCACCTACGAATTTGAGTGACAGGATAAAAATTAGGCATTCTATAAATAGCCTAATATTTAATGTATTTTTAAATAGAATGATATCGCGTACATATCACGAATCTTTTAATTCCTCGTAAATAGATAATGTCCAGCAATAATATAATTAGATATATATCGAAACACAGTCTTTCCTTACATTTGACTGTGCAAATTCTAACAGCTGTTACGTTAACTGTCATATTATTTTTTCATTATTTGTGATCATTACTAATTATAAAAGTAAAAAATAAACTCTTCATTATATTATCATGATCGTGACAATGTATTAATATACACATAAATGCGATATTAATCGATTATATTAGTCGAATCCCCATATTGGTGTCATTTTAAGATTCCCTGTAATTTATTACATCGCTTTTTGCGCAGCTTTTTCGCATTTGCGGGATCACTTGCGTGGATTAAGCAAATGTAACGCAATCGAAAAATAGTATGTGAAATGCAGAAGTGATAAACGAAAATAATAAATGCAAAAAAGATCCTATTGCAGTTCGCTTGTTTAGAATAGATCTCTTCGCACTTTTTGTGATTTTACTCCATTCTATTTGCGATACAGAAAGTAAGTACAAGAAATAAACTTTCTATTAGTTCAAAAGAGTTTCCTCTGGAAAGCCTAAATATATACGTTCGTCTAATTTCAAAATGCGTTCTTCCGCGACTGTAGTTCTCCTGTACATCTTTGAACTTTCGTCTTTGCTCCTTTACTTACATTTCATTTCACACATTTGTATCTATTTGAGTTTAGAAAGAGAGTAAAACACGAAGAGATATTGCGTATTTCTGAGAATAATAAATTTAGAGGAAACGTGCGGAGCAGAAACGAGCGAACCACGTTGGGTTAAGACCGGCTTGGGAAAGCTCATTTCCTCCTCCGGCGATGACGCATCATGCGACACGCACGCGAACATCGTAGCTGCCGCAGGAGGAGAGGAGGGACACGCTCATTTCCGCAGGCGAGGAGGCCGTTGCGGCTCCGCATGCCTCATGCCGTCCAAAATGGCTGTTCGCTAAAATTAGCGGGCGCAAGTGAACGAACGAGGACGCGAGAGAGAGAAAGAGAGAGGTTATGGTGTTTAAAAAAAAAAACAAAAAAACTGGCAAGTCTTGATCGATCTAACGATACTGGATTAATATCAATCGAATTCGCAATCTCATTTTCGTTATCCCAATTATCAAAATTCGTAAGAGAACGAGCGAGAGAGAGAGAGAGAGAGAGAGGAGGGTAGGGAGTAAGAAAAGGAGAATAAAACTTACCTCGTCGTCGAAGTAAAGTCATATAAAATGGTATCGCCCTGCTGGACGGCCGCTTTCTAGCGTGAAAATCCGCCGCTCGGTAGAGCCAAGATTCGAGACAGATGGATGGATCGCCCTCCTCTAGGGGAGGTGACCGATAGACCGATTATACGTGTCTCGCGACGAGTGTCCGAAGAAGAGTCGACGAGCTACGAGCGAGATGCCTCGAGCGAGAGAGATAAAAGGAGAGTGAGAGAGAGCCGTCGATCGTAGAGCCGGCCTTCTGGTGGTGCTTCCCGTCGTCGCTCTTGATCGCTCCGTTCATTCGTCGCCAACGAATTGAGTCGGCAAATTTATGCTGCTAATGGTGTATAAAAAATGGACTGGATAATTCCTAATAAATTAAAATAACTTGTGCAATAATTTTCGATTCTGCTGAAACGGTTGATAATTTTAGCACTTTTCAAGCAATTATATCTCCGAGAGAGTTTAGTTCATTTGAATTCATTTAAAATTTACCCAAGGCTGGCCGTCTTTAATAATAATCTTTTCGATGGTTTAAAGTTTTAAATTACTTCAGAGATAGTAGTGAATGACGTAATTTGTAGCAGACCCAAGATCCAAGATTCAAGCACGTTTAATAGACTGTGACATGTGTAGTACATCGTGTTGAAATTTGTGATTTTTAAAATCATTTGCTTCTTTTTCGGTGAGTTGAAATTTAAGGATTATCGTGATATATATTGAAGGAAATTTTGTAATATATATTCGTAGTGAAACTGTGAATACTTTTTAAATGGAGATTGCATTGTGCGACTAACCTCAAAAACACGCGTCTTGTCACGTGTTAGTAGCGAAAAAATATTATATTTTCTTCAATATTAATGGAATATATTTAATCTTATCAATTGTTTATATTATATTAAATCATTTTTGCAAATATACGAAGTTTTCTCGCTTTGTTGGCTATTCGTATATTCTTTGATGTTGAATGAATTAGTCAATGAAATTAGCTCCAAAAACGAAATAAAATATTGCTTATAAAATTTGTTAATTCGAGTAAACTCGGAGGGATACCAATGTTTGATCATATATATATCTTTCTGTTGTAGAAAAGCTTTAATGTGAGATTTCAAGATTTTAATTCTGGTTTTTTGTTTATATTGATGAAGCTAAATCAAGAAAGGAATCATTCAGAAGAGAATAAAATGGATACTAAGACAAGTCTTACACTTGAGCTACATCGTGTTGAAATTTGTGATTTTTAAAATCATTTGCTTCTTTTTCGGTGAGTTGAAATTTAAGAATTATCGTGATATATATTGAAGGAAATTGTAATATATATTCGTAGTGAAACTGTGAATACTTTTTAAATGGAGATTGCATTGTGCGACTAACCTCAAAAATACGTGTCTTGTCACGTGTTAGTAGCGAAAAAATATTATATTTTCTTCAATATTAATGGAATATATTTAATCTTATCAATTGTTTATATTATATTAAATCATTTTTGCAAATATACGAAGTTTTCTCGCTTTGTTGGCTATTCGTATATTCTTTGATGTTGAATGAATTAGTCAATGAAATTAGCTCCAAAAACGAAATAAAATATTGCTTATAAAATTTGTTAATTCGAGTAAACTCGGAGGGATACCAATGTTTGATCATATATATATCTTTCTGTTGTAGAAAAGCTTTAATGTGAGATTTCAAGATTTTAATTCTGGTTTTTTGTTTATATTGATGAAGCTAAATCAAGAAAGGAATCATTCAGAAGAGAATAAAATGGATACTAAGACAAGTCTTACACTTGAGCCTACAAGAAATTCGTTTACTTGTCTAGCATGCCATGTAATATTCACAGATCCACAAGCGCATAAGATACATTACAGTTCCGAATGGCACAGATATAATCTGCATAGAAAAGTGAGTGAGTTACCTCCAATTACATACAAAGTGTTCCAGAATAAGAGCACAGTTTATCACAAGGATAATGCAAATGAAACCAAGGCAAAGCAAAATCAGAAATGTCAAATATGTCGAAAGAAGTTTAAAAATGAAAAGCAGTACTATAATCATATTGTGTCTAAGACTCATAAAAAGAAAATGGAAGAAAGAGATAAAGTTGTAGTTTCCAGCAAAAGTCCGACAAACACAGAGAACGAAATGGAAGTGGAAACAGATTCGGATATAGAGTCTTTGGATTCAAATGAGTGGCTTGATGACTTAGAAAATCCCATTGAGCGTAATGACTGCTTGTTTTGTGACCATCACAGTAGATCTGTAACACGTAATTTAAAGCACATGATGGAGGAACATTCATTCTTTGTGCCCGACCTTGAATACTGTACTGATTTAAAAGGCCTGCTGCTGTATTTAGGGCAAAAAATATACAGCGAATACAAATGTATCTGGTGTAACGATTCAGGTAAATAAATTTTCTTTCCTTTTTATTCAATTAAGTAGTTTTATTTTGTTTTTATTATTATGCTTTGCATTGTGTTGAAAGAATTCTCCAATAAAGTTGAATTTCAATTATAAGTTAAAATGTAAAAATTAATTAATTTTAAATGAATTAAGATTGTATTATGTACCATACAATGTAAATAATATATATTATCTGCGTCATGTTGCTTAGTGAAATTTCTTTTTAATGAGTTTTATTGCATCTAATATCTAACAAGAGAATTTATTTTCTAGAAATAAAATCAACTATTGAGATTCCTAGAAAACAAATTTATTAGATTATGAATCTGTTCCAAAAATGGTTGAAAATATTTTTTTGTGCATTTTTATATCTTAACTTCGTATATTTTTGAAATTGAATTTAATTAGAATTAAAATTTGAAGAAAAATAAAATAAAAGAATTGAATTATACATATAAAAAAAATTTTCGATTGAAATTCAAATCAAATATTTATAAAATTTTTAAATATTTTTGCAGGAAGACAATTACAAAGCATAGGAGCAGTGAGATCGCATATGGTTGATAAGGGCCATTGCATGATGTTGTACGAAGGAGAGACGCTACTTGAGTATATGCAGTTTTATGATTATTCGTCCAGCTATCCAGACGCTAAAGACGCCGATCCGGATACGGAATCGCCGAAACAATCGGTGATTCTGGATGATGAGGGATACGAATTGAAGTTACCTTCCGGCAAAGTGATAGGTCATCGCGCTTTAGTGCGCTATTACAAACAGAATCTGAATCTCGAGCCGGTTACAGTAACTAAGAACAGTGGAGAGAAATTGCGCAAGTTATTGCTGCAGTATAGAGCACTCGGTGGTTCGGAGATTCAGATGGAAGCCGCCCAGAGAAGAGCTCGGGATGTCCAATACTTGCAGAGAATCCAAACAAAATATTCAACACAACTGCAAATAAAGCAAAACAAATTGCAAAAGCATTTTAGGAGGCAAACAAACTTTTAGACTCATTAATTTGTTACTATCGGAATGTATTTAATATTTATGATAGGAACTTATTTTTTAGAAACTCTAGCTAGCGCATATTTGTTAAAAAAAAAAAAAAGAAAAAATGAAGAACACATTTCTTTTCTTCTATTGTCTTTCTTATCAGATGTGTTCGCCGAGTTAAGAATTTTTTTCACATATTTTGGAAACAAGCCACAAGAAGGCTTTGATGCTTTGTTATTGTACATATATACATATACAAAAACAAAAAAATAAAATCCAACTTAACGGAATTAAGTGTTTATATATAAAATTATGTTTATCTATAAAAATCTATAAAAATTACGTTTGAATTCAAATTTGAGTGCTTTACAGCCATCAATTCAATTCCTAAAAATCGAAATTTATTATTTTCTTTAAAGGATACATATCATTACGCAATATAAATCATTATAAATCGCGTTATAATTCGCATTTAGCGGACGTTTTTACAAAATAACTCGTATATACTTTATATATTACTCTTTTGCAACACGTGACGATAAAAATATCCTTCATTTTCCTCTTTTCATGTATAACTTTTTTTTAAATTTATATGGACCCATTTATATTATAATCCAGAATAACAACTTCGAGTTGCGATCAAATATTGCCGCTTTCGATAGAATGTAGTAAATATACAAGTTAGAAAACAACCTGCACCATTGCGTTTCACTTATGTATGTACGCATGAGAGAAAGAAGATATAACTAGACCTTATGTATCTTATGGACCATTTCTCACGCGGCGATATTGGCGAATCGCGAGACATATAAAGATAGAACAATGTTTGATACTTTGCGACTTTCTTTATCTTTCTTACTTTCTATTGTCAGATTGGTACTTTGCTGCACGATCGATTATTGATATCCTTTTTTCAATCCTTAAATAGTCAAAATTGTCGTAAAACAACGAAATCCGTTTAGAAGACTCTTATTGTGTATATATATTATTAAATTAGATTTAATTATATTGATACGTTTGCTTTAACAGGTTGACTGTCATGCTGTATTTGCCGAGAATCCTATCATGTCACATTTACGCACGAGTGATCGTGCGACACAGTAAAATAACAAGAATTTTTTTTAATAATATAAAAATATAACAATTTTTTATCACACGGCAAAACGTATATACTATTCGTATACGGGTCGCATGGCAATCAATGTGTTAAACGCTTAGGTATGAGTTAAACAATATACGACGATTCTATAAATATTTCGTATGTCTCCAATTTTTCGCCAGAGTGGAGCGATTGGCGGAACGGAAACGGAAAGCCTAAATGCGATCTGCGAGACAATCACAGACTTTTTCGATTATATCGAAATTTTCAATTTCATTATTTTAGCGTTTTCGGATGAAGCAAGTTTGATCGCTCTAAGAACGATTAATAACGTCATAAATTCCGTTTTGAGTTACTAGGGGTACTTGGATTATTAGATTAATCAATGAAATATTTTCAGTAAGCGTTTGATTGATTAATCAAGGCAAAGAATCTTATGTTTTAAAGTCAAAATAGAGTCAAACGGGATGTACTTTATATTATTTATATTTTTAATGTATTATTTATATATTAATCAGATTCAAAATCCAGTTTCGGTCGAACACATGTTCATAGCAAATTGGGTTTTATCGCTCTCAGAGCGATTAAATCTGCTTCACTCGAAAACATTATTTTATTAAATCCGATATCTTTTTTCTTTTTTTTCTTTAATAATTTTGGAACACGTATATTTGGGAGGGGGCGGATACCATTTGAAAACATTTCGACATGTACTACGCGATATTTTTGTTCTTGTCTCTTTTACTAAGTAAACGTTCTATGAGACAGCGTCATGTGTCTCACATTCGCGACACTGAGACATGCATTAATAGAGCTGTTATTGTCACGACACGACGACGATACACATATCTACTTTGCGCTTTCGTGTTGATGATTTAATTTAATTAAACTCTACCGAAAGAGCGACTTTCTTTTTTTATCTTCAATCTAGCAGTTTTACCATCAATTTTAACGCTTGGTGAGGCGGCGCCGGCCTGATGGACTTGTCCAACTCCGCGTACGATATCTCCGCCTCTACTTGGAAGCCATGCTTCAGACAGACCCTCTGTGAGTATATGCCGGTTGCATCGGCTTTACATACCTGTGTAATACATATTACATACCTAACATAGTATATATACCTAATGCAATATATATTTTTAAAAAATTTGCACAAAAGATATTTGTTATTTTTCTGTGTTAAATTCTATTTAAATTAAAATTAAGTGCATCGAGAATTCTTTTTAAAAAGAGTCGTAAAGATTTCTAGATAGAAGAAATGTATCGAATTTAACAATGATTGTTTTGATAAAAAATACTTCGAAATTGCGTAATAATTCGTTTCTAATTTTATTTGATAATAACGATGAACTTTAGTTTATATATAGTACATACAGATTGCTTTATTCATTATATTATTTATTAATTCAAATCGAATCGTATGTTGATTTATTATATTAACCTGTCTCTTTGCTTCTTTGTCTCTGCGCAAAGAACTGCAAAAGTATCTTTCAAAGAAACGAGTAACATGCATTGTAACTATACACCTTGTGGGGGAATAAACGAAAATCATCCCATGCATATTAATCGAAGAGCATGCTGAAACAAAAGAAAAGTGTACGGTATATATGTAAAGTAGGGGTTACACCAACGCAACGATCTTAAATTGATAAAACAAAAATAAAAAATGATATCCTCTCTTTATACCATGTAAAATCGATAAAATAACTGCATAAATATATATCGCCACTTTGATAAGAAGACATTTTTTCGAACTCTATAAATGTCGAAGGAATATTTTACGATATATTTATCTTATTTTATTTTTGTGCAAAACAATTAAAGAATAATTTTCATCACATGCATGCAAAAGATGAAATTAAACATACAGAGAATAAATTAGATTCATTTAATTTCCATGTATACACAAAATATATAGACAAATTTATTTATGCAAATGAATAAAATCAATAGAAAAATAAATTAAAATAGACATAGGATAAATTAATCTACCTTGAAACCGGCGTCTTTGGCAACTTTTACGCTGTCGGCCATAAGAATGCTGGCCAAACCCCTGCCACGGTAGTTTTCGTCGACGCTAAGGATCCGGCACTCGAACAGCTCATCTACGTCGTATTTGGCAAATAAATCAATCTTGTCGTTCACCTTATACAGCAGCCCGAAGATGGTCTTGAACTTTTCGTCGTCTAGCTCGGCGAGGCGCCGCTCCGCCTCCTCGCGCTCGCCCTTTTTCAGGGTGCCGTTTAGTGCCATCCCCGCTATCTGATAAAGCGATTCAGATAATATACATCTTTCGTGACGATATTGAAATCTGATATTATAGACAAAGATTTTATATATTAACAAATATAAATAAAAATAAAAAATTATGAAGAAAATAGTTTTGTAAACAGACAAAAAGAATAATGCGATTATTGTTTCAAGAATATTAGATTAATCACAAAGTTTCATCAATTATTAGATTTATAAAAATTGTAATTTATTAATAAATAAATAATGAAAAATGAAGAATTAATATCTATGATAAGATATAATAAAAAAATATTTATAAAAAATAGACAAAATAATTATGATTATTTTCCGCAATTATAAATAATTATTATTAGTTAATGAAAAATATCGAATTAGTAAGACATCGAAATATTAACAAATAAGAAAGTAAAAATAAAAATGAGAATATAAAAGTAATTATTAATTTTAATATCTATGTAAGAGAGATGAATAAAATAATTATTATATGTATTATATGATATAAGGAACTATATCGCTCACCGCTCCCTTTGAATTCACTAACATCCTGGAATAACCCTGCTTCAAGGTGAGCAGACAGTGCTGCTCGAGCTCACGTTGGGATTCCCCCTTCGTACAGAGTCTTACAGCATTGTTGAGTGGCTCGTCGGCGAAGAAATTCCATCTCAAGTGGTGAATTGCTTCGTCATAGCGATTCTCTGGTACCTCCACAACAGTCAAACAATCCTCGCCAAAAGATGATGGCATGTCTCGGATGAATTTTCCAACGCGCACTGGAAATATATACTGGGAGTTCGGCTGGGCGAACTCCCCTTAGTGAAGAAGAGTGTCACCTCTCATATAGGAAAACCACCCCTTTCTCCCTCCTCCTATATAATATTGATCGACCTAGTTCACTGGCGAATACACTGGGTCAGTCGTACACGCCGATTGTGCCATGTTAATTCGTTAAATTAATTTAACGAAATTAACAAAAATATAGATAAAATAAGATTAGGATTGATCTTATACTCTCTTTCATCCTTGTGCCATCTGATATTATCTGCAACTAAGATTCTGTTGTAAATTAGATATTATTAAATTATTTTCTATATTTTTGCAGAAGCTATCTTCATTTATCGGATTTCAATTGTGTGTAAAAATTATTTGTAAATGTTTATAATAGACAAATTTCAATTCTAATCAAGATTATCAATTATTGATTTCAATTTCATTCGGAAATAATTTTTATTATTAAACAATTTCATCTGCAAATCGTAGTTAATGTGAAATAAATTTCACTAAATTGATTGAAATATAAAATGTAAGCAAGATTTATATTTCAATAATTCATCTGCTTTCTCCTGTACAAAATTTACATATTTTTCTAGAAGTTTTAAAGAACTTGAGATAAAGTAAGAATAAAGCAAATAATAATGATTGGAGATAAATGATACAGAAAAGAATATATACATATATTTATTACATATCCCTAATCAATATATAGAATTAAATTGTAGAATTTCTCACATCATACAAATCGGAAATGATTTGGATGACAATGGAATAACTTGTGATATATAGGATTAAAATACTTTTCACAATATAGAATTAAAATACCTGAAGTACTTCTAAAAAATAACAGCATTGCTATTGTCTGTGTGTAATATAACATGTATAATTGCTTATTTTTATATTGCTACATATACCATATTCATATTTTGAAAGATAAGAACAGTAGGTTTGGAAAAGTTGTTTTCTCAAAATTATAAAGAAAAGAAAGGCTCCTAATGACACTCTCTAAAATATAAATAAATATATCTCTAAATGAGACTGTCATTGTGCTATAATGTAAAATCATAATAAAAAGCTAAACAGGAAGAGAAGAGGTTCTTTTCGTCTTTTAGGGGCTATTAACATCTTAATATTTATAACATATTATTTACAGTATTTAAAACAGCACATCATCGTCGCTCTCGTCGAGCAGATTTGTAGCCTCAAAATCATATCCGGATGCAATTAATACTGCTCTTTCCGCTTCAAGCTACAACCGATTCAGATTTTAGATAATATATAATTAGTAATTGATAAAGAATAAATTAATTAATCGTACCTTCGCCTTAGCGATCTTCTTCTTATCTTGAATCTTTTTCAACCGATAGAACTCTTCTCTTTCAAGTTCGTCGAGCTCTGAAATAATATAGGCTAAAGTTCTTTCAATTCGAGGGATGATAACATGTTCAATAGCATTAACACGCCGATTCGTGATCTTGATAACTTCGTCCAGAGTGACGAAACTCGTCTGTAGCGACGCCAGTTCTACCAGCAATTTCACTGCTCGTTGATAGTTCTTTTTCAGTTTGGCCAATTGTTGACCACCTCTTGCCAGACCTGCTAACTCATAAGTATCTGTTCCATCCTGATAGGATTCGAATACCGGTAGATTCACACCAGCAACATTATCCTTCTTGGAACGAATTTTGATCTGTGCTTTTGTTACATTCTGCAGAACCACCTGATTGAAATCTCCTGTAGCAAACTTTGCTTCCGCCAATGAAAAGGCTGCCTCCTTCATTACTTCGCCCATCAAAGTTTTGGTCTAAAAAATGAAAAAAAATAGAGATGTAAAAATAGATAAGAGAGATAAATAAGAAATAGATTACAATCACAAATAAAGATAATAAGGATGTAGAAAAAGTCAAATAAAGAGACTATAAACGGAATTAATAATAGAATAGAATAAAATAAAAAATAAAAGAATAAAAAAGTAGAAATACTAATATAATATAGTAAAGTAGTATAGAAAGATAAAATTAATAATAGAATTAATATATTTTATACTTCTATAATTTTTCCCAAGATCATCCTGAAACGCATTTGCAATGCATCAGCCTTTTTCTTCAGTAAGCCATGTCCCTTTTGCGCCCCTTGCAAGCGAGATTTCATCAGCATCTGGGCCCTAGAATACAAATACATAATGCACTATTGTTTTTATACTTAAAATATATTAGATATTTTTACTATTCACACATAAATATTGTGTCACATTATTAAATATTTTGTGTAAGAAATAAATTTTTGTCAATTAAATTTTCATACACAAAAGAAGCATTTTACAAGATAGAACAAATTGAAAATATATATTCATACACTTAAACATCTGAGTCTTCTTAAATTGTCCTATGCATAAAACATATCTGTGATTACAATATTCTTTAGGAATAAAGCATTTTTGTAGTGAGATAAAAGATAATCAAAATGTTTAAAAAATTGTAAATAAATGTTTAAAGAATTATATAATAATGCTTAAATATTTAAAAGTCTTCTTAACAATTGAAGACGGGGTTACACCCAGTATTCCAGTATGTTTTAAAGTGAAATTTTACTCGAGAACAACTGACAATACACGATATATGAATGAAATTGTTGAATTTTCTTAATAATCAATATGATAAAATAAAACACTTACCCCCTAGAGGGGAAAATTGGTAATTTATCTTTGCCTGACATTCTTTCGACTACTGTGCAGCAACAGACAAGAACGTGATTGATCAGCTGACTCGAGAAACCGGAAGTCGTGACCGTCGTGTTTCTCTACAATGGCGCGCGATTGTAAAGGTAAAATCATGTGCCTAAAGCTTAATTTAAAAAAATAAAAATAAGAAAGAATAAAAGAACAGAGATATGTATAAAGCGCAATATAAGTTTGATTAATATTTGACAGATAATTTCTGTACTAAATATAACTTAATACATATATAACTTTATTATAATGAATATACAAAATGATAGCTAAAAATACATAAAGCAGAGAGATCTCTGATATTTTTGATAAAATAAATATCTTTAATATATTTCTGTACACAAAAAAATACAATATGGTTTAATATAATACAATTTGCCCAGGTTCTAGAACTTGTCGTATATTCATATTAATCCGAGCTTCGACGATATAAGTTCGCGCCTTCCGCCAATCATCGTAATTGTACGTAAAAGTTTCACGATTGTCCTCGCCATTATCGTCCCATGGTATTCTGGACGCCGATAAAATTTTCGGCACTCCGTGATACCTCAAACGAGAGCTTCCCGACATTATCACTACATCTCCACTCCGCAGAAAGATTGCGTTAGCTGAATCTTCCTGTTTCGGCCCACCAATTAGAAAAATTGCTGTCTGTCCGAAACTTATAGAGAAAAGTGGCGCGGCCACATTCATCTCCGAATGATCTGTGTGCCCTGCCAAAGTTGAGTTCATACGGTAATAATTTACAATTGCTGCTTCTGCTTTAAAGTCCGAGAAAGCTAATGTTTTCGCCAAAATGGATGTTAAACCGGATAATTCCGCCGGCATGTCGCTCTTTGAGTTTTCGGAGTATAATTTTGTGTCCCAATTATGATGATAACCCAATGTTGACCATCGTAGTTTAGGTAGAAGAATTTTCGCTCTTTCCGACATTCTGGTAACAAATTAAAGTAATTAAATATCGATCTAGATGTTAATATAGATTTTTTTCATAATTGTATATTTAATCAATATAAAGGTCTATATTATTGATAAAATTAATTAGTAAAAATTACTAGTATTAATAAATTTAATTCTATAATTGTTCTTACTGAAAACATATCTCCCACCATGTTTCATTAGCTAAAATATTATGAGCGTCTATATTTAACTTGTATGGCTCCTTAGAATAATCTTTCAAACATTTTGTAATCCAGTATCGTTGACCGTTTGGTGTAAATGGATTCTGAATAAAGATAAGCCCTGAAAATAATAAGAGAAATTCAGGGATATAGACTATTAAATATTAATTATAATATTTCATGAGAAAAGACAATATTGTTACTTAGGTCTTAATCGAGGATTAAATATGTATGATATTTCACAAAATACTATTTTATGGACAATATTAAAAAATAATTTTAATTATTGTAATGTGTCACACAAAATTCACGCACCGGGAATATCTAGCAATTCGTAAATCGTCCATTTCTCCGCTGGTTTCAATCCAAAATTATCCTCGTTCTGTTCGTCACTTACGTTTGCCTCGATCTTCCTAACCTAAAATAACATTCGTGATTAGTCATCGAAAGAGCATGTCAATCGCGATATTAACGTACTCTAACATGATCTGGACTTTCAAAATCGATCACATCGTCGAAATTAGGTGCCGGATTTCGGCTTTTGTAATATTTGAAACTATCTCGAAACATCTTCTAACAACCTTGCGAGCCGCCATATTTTCCTCGCGTTTCGTATTTTCTCCGTGTCACGAGAGATGGCGCCTGCGATCAAATCTTGCGCCATAAAATTTCCACAATTTCAAATATGTAGACGGCTTTGAAATCATGTTCATGTCAGTACACACACCAAAAAGGTTATAAATAATATATACAATCATAAAGATTACGCAGAGAAAATATATAACCACGTATGTATATAATGTTTAATATAAAATGATAAAACAATTTTATATATAATCATATTATTAAATATATATTCCATATAAACGTAAATCTTGCATAAAAAATTACAAAATAAAAATTCATATAAAGAGATTGTAAAAGCAAGTGTAACACAAACATGAATATAGAAATTATTTTAACTTAAAATGTAAATTGGTAGCGGTAAAAGTGATAAAATATGTCGAATATGTTGATTTAGGGAGGAAAGGAACTTGATTGCCGTTTTACATAGAAGATAATTCGGTTGTTAGATCATATGTAATTTGTGTGATGGAGCATATCGACATATGGTCTGACTAAGAGCGGAAAAACGTACTCGATGACAGATAGACACGTAAACCATGCGCCACCCAGCATTATTACTCAATATGCTTTGCATATCTTCATCGAGAAGAGATCGCATCGGGAAAGTGTGGCAGTTTTTCTCACAGTAACGTATCCAAAGTTTTAAAGATTTTGGAGCCAATATTTAGAGCCTCTGAATCAAGTTTCGGAAATTTGTTTATAATTAAAACATAATTTCTTTAATAAGCAAAAGATAATTAATAACAAAATTCTCTCTGCTCAATTAAACGTAGATTATATATTAGTATTAGAGCAAGGCAAATAAATTTCTCTAAAAATCAAAATATCCTTAAAATTTATTAATATTTATTGTAAGATTTATTATTAATAGTTATTGAGAATTTATATTATTTGCCAATTTTCTTATTTTCGCAAAGATTATATTAAAATATTAATCAAAGATTATGTTTAAACATAATTATATGCGATTTGTGAGAAAAATATCGGTTTATTTCGCGATTTTAAATTACGTTTTTTTTAGGAATAAATAATTAGGGATCTCTCTGTATTTTTAAGGATTCTCCAGGAGATTTAAAACATCATTTATTGGTAAATCTCCGCCACTGTTCTCCCGGCGTGGCTCGTTTTATATGCCGGCGCGCGCAATAATCGTCTGTGACTAATTTTAGCGTACGATTTTCGCATAATGCAACATTGCCGGGAACGGCGTGATTTCATAGAGTAACAACGAGTAGGGCAGGACACTTAGCACAGCAAAGCAGCACCTCTCAAGGCTTTTCGAAAGCCTACCGCGAGTAAATTAATAGACGCGATAGGCCGCGGTAATAATGATCGTTCATTACCCGTCGCGCTTCTATTCGCCATAAATCTCACCCACCCACCTAACCTGATCACACGCTAAATCTGTTGTTCATTCGCACACCTGTGATCGATGGTCGCATCGATCCAATTTGAGCATCGACCCAAATTTCCATTGTAGAAAAAATTAGCTATCATAGAGATTGTTATTAATTAATAGAAGGACAGGATTGCAGGTAATCGTGGCCAGAGAATACAATAATCTTAGATACTTAGATATTGACAAAATTATTAATTAGAAAAAGTCTGTAATCGGTTTAAAAAAATTTATTATATAATATTACATTTTTTATAAGTTTTGGTATCTCGAAACCAATATGAAGATATCGAATGTCTTTGATTCATAATGAATCTAGTAATTTTAATCGCGCCTTTATTCACGCATATTAAAAATCGAGTTTTAGCCAATTTGTATCGCATAGTTATTCGATATTTTAATACATTTAATATATTTATTGTAATTTAATTTTTTTTAAATATATAATTGCCACTATTATCTCAAAATCTATTCCCTACATAAATGTAATTATATCTTTATTAATTATTAATAATAAATCTATCTTTTATAAGCGAGCTTTGATTTTGACGGATATAGAGGTTACATTCAATTCTTTCTCTTTATACTCTGTCTCTCTCTTTCTCCCTTACTTTTCAAGCAACTAATTATAAATGTAAAAAACTTTTGTGTGTCGCCAGGAGATCGACGTTTCTGGCAGTATTAAGTACTAGTCTAGGAGTGCCTACTAAGAAGCGCGACACGCACGCGTATTGAATATACCGGCGTGGTGCGGCAAGGGAGCGGAGCGCGTACTCTCCCTGACAGTTTCATGTCAACAAATGTCGCGGACGTGAAGTCGCGCCCAGCCAAGCCAGCCGCAGCGAAGTCCGCCGGCGCGTATTCGCGAGATTCGCGCGGTCGGCCAATCGCGGATACGTGCGACGTCACCGGCGGCCAATCAGCGCGCGATGCGGTGACGGCGCGAGCTAAATATAGCCGGTATATATCTAGGCCGGTCGCGACCGCGAATTATCCACAGTCGCGCGCCGGCAGCCGACGAGGGAGGACTATTGGATTACGAGCGAACGGAGAAGTAAGTGTGTGCGCAGTGCGTGAAGTGTGGACGGCATCGGGCACGGGACGTTACAGAAGGTAAGTGTAAATTCGACGACGTGGGCGTGTTTCTAAAAAATCAGAGCGTTAATTACGCGCGTAAACATAAATCTTCGTCGTGCGAAATTACCATGAAGATTAGGTAGGTAGGTAGGTGCTGTCACGGCAAAGTTCAGAACACGTGTTTCATTCGCGCAATAAACATTTGTGTTAGCAATAAACACAGTTCGTTCGGCTATTCTCGGTTCGTATGGCTAATGTGTCGCGTCTGATGCTGGCGGATGAACGGCGAATTGTCGTTTCGCGATTTTTGGCCACATATAAATTTTCGAGAGTGTGAGAGTGCACGGCCAGAACGGCGTGAAGAGAGCATTGTGTGGCGTGACGTTGCGCACGTGAAGCGACCGAAGCGCGCGCATTCGATAACGTCGCGCGATCAGTAGAGTACATTCGCTTTAATGGCATTCTTCACACTTCTTTCTTCTTTCTCCGGAGCTTCAGTTATATGGTGCTTAATACGGAACGTGTAAGTAAAATAATTAAATCTAGAGTTTTGTCGGCAAGTGCGCTTTTACGTTGCGCGTCATCGAATAACGAATTTTAATATATTGAAAATGATGATCGATAAAAGATCCGTCTTTTCAACTACAAAGTTTTACATTTTCCCGCGCTGTTAAAATTAAATAAGTATGTATAAAAACAAAAATAAGAGAAAACTGAAAATGCAACTGAAAAAAACGGATTTGAAAAATTAACGACTAATATTATACCTATATTATTATATCTTATATCTCAATAAAGTATATTATTGCCAAAGAATTGTCAGTATAAATAAATAATCAAGTAAATAAATATTAATTGCAACATTACAAATGACAGAAGGATGAACAGAACAGTCATTTCAAATCTGTACACGCGAGGTATCGAGATCGCAGAATTATATTCGATGTATCGTGGCCGGAGAGAGATAGCGGCGATGTATTATTACGTCTTGATGTTATACATTCGATAAGGTTATTACGTGTTGGATTGACATAACGCCCTCGAGATCACTCATATAGGTTGTACTTTTGCGTGGTCTCTTGCAATTTTTTGTCCGAAGCGATTAATATCTGTCGCGAGAATTTTTCGAACGAAACATTTAAATCGCGAAAATTTAAATTGAAGTACTTGGACGTTGCCAAATAGATCGATCGCAATTGCAATTTGAATTGATTTACGTGGGCTTTATCGTCGTGAGTTTTTCTCTTTATACTCTGTCTCTCTCTCTCTCTCTCTCTCTCTCTTTCTCCCTTACTTTTCAAGCAACTAATTATAAATGTAAAAAACTTTTGTGTGTCGCCAGGAGATCGACGTTTCTGGCAGTATTAAGTACTAGTCTAGGAGTGCCTACTAAGAAGCGCGACACGCACGCGTATTGAATATACCGGCGTGGTGCGGCAAGGGAGCGGAGCGCGTACTCTCCCTGACAGTTTCATGTCAACAAATGTCGCGGACGTGAAGTCGCGCCCAGCCAAGCCAGCCGCAGCGAAGTCCGCCGGCGCGTATTCGCGAGATTCGCGCGGTCGGCCAATCGCGGATACGTGCGACGTCACCGGCGGCCAATCAGCGCGCGATGCGGTGACGGCGCGAGCTAAATATAGCCGGTATATATCTAGGCCGGTCGCGACCGCGAATTATCCACAGTCGCGCGCCGGCAGCCGACGAGGGAGGACTATTGGATTACGAGCGAACGGAGAAGTAAGTGTGTGCGCAGTGCGTGAAGTGTGGACGGCATCGGGCACGGGACGTTACAGAAGGTAAGTGTAAATTCGACGACGTGGGCGTGTTTCTAAAAAATCAGAGCGTTAATTACGCGCGTAAACATAAATCTTCGTCGTGCGAAATTACCATGAAGATTAGGTAGGTAGGTAGGTGCTGTCACGGCAAAGTTCAGAACACGTGTTTCATTCGCGCAATAAACATTTGTGTTAGCAATAAACACAGTTCGTTCGGCTATTCTCGGTTCGTATGGCTAATGTGTCGCGTCTGATGCTGGCGGATGAACGGCGAATTGTCGTTTCGCGATTTTTGGCCACATATAAATTTTCGAGAGTGTGAGAGTGCACGGCCAGAACGGCGTGAAGAGAGCATTGTGTGGCGTGACGTTGCGCACGTGAAGCGACCGAAGCGCGCGCATTCGATAACGTCGCGCGATCAGTAGAGTACATTCGCTTTAATGGCATTCTTCACACTTCTTTCTTCTTTCTCCGGAGCTTCAGTTATATGGTGCTTAATACGGAACGTGTAAGTAAAATAATTAAATCTAGAGTTTTGTCGGCAAGTGCGCTTTTACGTTGCGCGTCATCGAATAACGAATTTTAATATATTGAAAATGATGATCGATAAAAGATCCGTCTTTTCAACTACAAAGTTTTACATTTTCCCGCGCTGTTAAAATTAAATAAGTATGTATAAAAACAAAAATAAGAGAAAACTGAAAATGCAACTGAAAAAAACGGATTTGAAAAATTAACGACTAATATTATACCTATATTATTATATCTTATATCTCAATAAAGTATATTATTGCCAAAGAATTGTCAGTATAAATAAATAATCAAGTAAATAAATATTAATTGCAACATTACAAATGACAGAAGGATGAACAGAACAGTCATTTCAAATCTGTACACGCGAGGTATCGAGATCGCAGAATTATATTCGATGTATCGTGGCCGGAGAGAGATAGCGGCGATGTATTATTACGTCTTGATGTTATACATTCGATAAGGTTATTACGTGTTGGATTGACATAACGCCCTCGAGATCACTCATATAGGTTGTACTTTTGCGTGGTCTCTTGCAATTTTTTGTCCGAAGCGATTAATATCTGTCGCGAGAATTTTTCGAACGAAACATTTAAATCGCGAAAATTTAAATTGAAGTACTTGGACGTTGCCAAATAGATCGATCGCAATTGCAATTTGAATTGATTTACGTGGGCTTTATCGTCGTGAGTTTGCAGTTGCTCAAGGTCACGACGCCACAAAGTAGAACTTCGCTGCCATCATAGTTGCAATGTTGCCACAAGAGCTCGTGAGAAAACACACGTTAATCACACGTCTTGTGTGTGCTTGCTCCTATTCGCTAACAAAATATTTGAAGAATAGGAAGAATAGGATTTTAAAACTTGTTTGTGTTTCATTTGAGATATGATTCACAAACATTAATCCAACTTTTGCAAAAATCTAATGCTTTTACAAAAATATACTGCTCATTTTTTTGACATATCATGCTATGCGATGTCACTTGTTCGTCATTATATAATTGGAGAGCTTTTTTCGAAACTGTCTTAAATACTTTTTCTAATAAATTTTTATGTACTTATACATTTATTACACATACGAATTTTTCACAGTTTTCTTGGAGCATTTCTTTCTTCAAAAGATGGAGATTTAAGACGATTAAATAATTAAATAATTTCTACTATTAAATAAGACGATGGAAATAATTTCTACAATATGAAAAAAACGTGTTGTTTAATAACATGTCACATAATAATATTGCTCTCTTTATAATGACATAATGTGTCATTATTTTATTATTATAATATTATTATCATAATAGAATGTGTGCAATATATAATTTGCTCAAAAAAGAACGCATATAAAATGTATTAATTATAAAAATTTATGTTTTTTCATATTTTCCGTTTTTCCCAGCTTTAGCCAAGAAAATATTCTCTCCAATTATATGATTAATATTGGATTTTCATATTAAAACACTATATTTACCTTAATAAAAATTATTTTTATTAGTCACGTGTGTAAAAAATATTAGTAATCTATTTTAGATCATCAAAGATTTATTTTTTGAAAAAAATAATTTTATAAGGAATTAAAAGGATTATATTAGATGTTTTTTGTAACTATTATTTTATTTTATTATATGTACATATGTTTTGTTAAAATGTTACATTCTATACACATCATACAATTACTGCTTTTCTCCCTTTTTATCTTACATTTATCTTTTATTGTCTCTGAACTTTCGAGCAAGTTCTTTCCATAAACCGATGCTCGCTAAAGAGAAGAAGTGGGACGAGGCACTCTTGTATATTGTGCACCTCACTCATGAATATGAATGTGCAATCGCCCGCGTCTACGCGCGTCTTTGAAGTTGACTATCTATTATCGCGTTTACGAGAGACACGCAGTTGCAACGAACGGACAGACAAACGAACGAAGGAAAGAGTAGCAACCGCGCGATTTGTGTGTAGTTAGTCCGTAATAAATTATTTCAGAATTTAGAACATCCGAAAATAATTTGTTTGTCAGAGAGAGAAAGAGAGAAAGATGTTCGTTGGCATGTATCTTTGACATATCGACATAACATATGATAAAAATCTCAATTTCGCAAACTACGTGTGGTCCTCCGCGTTTAGACATTAAATACAATGATAAGGCGGACCAAGTCTAATGTAAGATTAACGTGTCAGATATTTCGTCAGGCTAATCAGCGTCTTTTCATTAGATCTTTTATCTAAAATATATATATAAAGCCGAGAGATAAAATGAGAGTGAAATATCATCTATATATAATTAGTAATATATAATAATTTTATAACATCAACAATTAATATGGTGCCTTATATGAGACATATAGATGATAATTTTATATATATAAAGACAGTTATTTATAATTATTCTTTTTAAAGAAATTATATATTTAAACATGTGTGCATCTACATATGTAATTTTGCACAAGGCAGTTCAGTTTCTATTTTTTGCTCTTTGAGTGTCAAGTATGTATGTATAATAAATATGTGTTAAAAAATAGTCTGGTGTTTTATATATGTGTGGGTTTTATCTATAATAACTCGATGATAGCGTTGCCGGTTATCATGCATCTTTCTTTTGATGGAATAAATGAATCGGGTGCCGCATGGGATGGGCACATATAACGCGTCGTAAAAACCGTCATTAATTAAATTATACGATGGACGATAGACGAGTACCACTCTGTATACGATACACTTGTGAGATTATCGGATAAGATCGCGTGGGCGGGAGCGCTAAAAACATAACATCGATTTTACATCAAATTTTCTTGCAAAAAAAGATCTATCGTGTGTGTAGTATGTATATGTATGTCTTTAAAATGGATTATATATTAAAAAAAAAAAAAAACAGAAATTTAAAGTAGAAAAAATAAACATTCAAAAAATAGAAATTTTTTTTAAAGTTATATTATTGAGACATATATTTTTGATATTTATAAAGGAATAGAAGTGAAAAATTAAAATAAAAATGTTTATTGATACATATTTAAAGTAAAGCTTTTTATACAAAATATAAATTTGCTTTTAAAGGAATATTTTTTAAAGTCTCTGCAACACTACAAAAAAATAAATTATTCTTAAAATCAAGGACGCAAAAGAGAAGAAAATGAGAGAGTTAGAGAGAAAATTGGCAAATTTTTGCAGCACCTCTTTTATGTACTCTTTTATTCACTGAAAAGCCTTGGCATTAAATTGCATGTCTTTAATGTTTGCTTTCGTCGACAAACTTCCTCCGGCATTGATAACCTTTGCAGAATAATAATCTTATCTCGCGCATTTGCTATGCAAAGTTATTTGCAATCTCGCGAAGGTAACAACCTCGCGAAAAAGGTACTATTTGCTAATTAACGTTATCATCGTTAAAAAGTTAGACAGCGTGCGATGACAAAATAAAATTTCTTGAAGAATTTCAAAGAATTTCGACTAATTATTTTGATTGATAATTTTCAACTAAATTATATTAATTAATAATTATTTATAAACATATTAAATGTTGCTAATATTTTGTATCGCAGTTGTTCTATGTAGTTTTGGTGTTATGTTACTTGCACCGCGCGAGTGAACGCCAAGTTGGCGCCAGCTCGCCCATATATCGATACTGTAATAAACTGATTATTCTAGCGATGTTAAGCGAGATTATTAAAGTGCTATCGAATCGTCCTGCGAATATCTTTTTTTATGTCAAATATAAATCTAATATACTATATAAACACTCATTAAGCAAATAATAACTTTTGATATCACACAAAATTATATCAAATATATGTAACAACGCAATAAAAAAAAATATTATGAAACGAAAGCGTTACGAAAGAGTAAAAAATCATTGTTTAAGAATTAGAGAAGGATAATAAGAGAATAATAAAATGAATTTATTTCGGTATTTGCTGCGAAGAGACTGACAATTTTTTGCGCATTAAATATTTTTATCCAATTAATTCTTTATCTACAATTTTGTCAATTTTAAATTCACTGTAAATTAAACAAACAATTGTTTTACTATACGTTTTTCCTACAGTTTCGTAAAGAATGTGCTCCCTGAAGTAGGTATGCGAGAAACGTTTCTGTCCCGTTTGATGCGAAACATGCATATAATCATCGTGTGTCTTAAATCACACGCTTTGCCTTTGCTAATAGACGGCTATTTTCTCTCGTACTCAATAATTTTTGTCGCCTGAATGAGATGTTAGATGTGTTTTAAACATAGACAGCAGATACTTATTTATTCTAGAGCGAGTGTTTTATGAACAAAGTCTATAGTTTAACAAGTTATGACATAAACAATCATTTTCCTGCATTATTTTAATATTAATTTTAATAATACAATTATATTTTATTTTATATTATATAAATATTTTGGAATTTTTAAAGATTGATATAAGAGGAGACTTAAAAAAATAAAAAAAAACTTTAGTTTAAAATATTTTTTATTTAGATCTAATAATAAGATTATTTTGGAATGTATTCTTGAATTTTGCAATATTTTACCGTGATAAATGAATATATATAAAATAAATTGATGATATACACAATTGATAATATATTATTTATCATTAATGATTGCAAATAAGATCGGTATCGTCTAATGGCGTATATGAGTAATCTCGCGCGATAAAATCGCGATCGTAACAATATACGAACCGATACGTTTGTTTAACGCGTGCATCGTGCGGCGGAGGCGGTTTATCTGTGCATACATAAGGTGAATCTCCCCTTTTCCCTTCCTCCCTTCTTTTCTCGAAGGAGCTGTGTACTATCATTTCTCTCTCTCTCTCACTGTGTTGTATTAGCATTTTAAATTCAATCGCGAGACATTGACGCCCTTGAGCGCTAATGGACTCTTTCTTTATCCTCCTTCTGCCGTTCTGTCTCTTGCCATCGCGTCTCGATTTTCTTTCTCTCTTCCTCCACTTACAAATCCAGTTATATCATCTCGCGGCTTTGCTGTAAGGCGAGTGGCTCG